TCGATCCGATAACAAGAAATTCAGTCTTATCATCTTTGATCTTTAGTTTAATATTAATATTATAGCAAACACAAAAGAATAACCCATTAGTTTATCCTTCCAAGAACTTCGTGTAACACTTACTGGATTGTGGATCCGTTCACGCAAGTAAAATCGGCTAAGTACATGGTTAAATCCAAAACAAAATCCATCTCGAATCTGGGTGCATTTTCCAATTTTTCTAAAACTGAACGTTCAATCTATAATTTCCCAAACTTCCTGCATGAAATTGAAGCGGTAGCTATTTGTTTTGTTATGGAGCGTGGGCGCCGAAAGAGTCAGCAAAACTCCAGAATATGCGTGGGTGCACAGATAAAACTGGTTTATTCAGTATAAACCTTGTCTGACTCATCCAAAAAGCTGGATGATCGGCAGATCAAACGATTTAGAAGATGTCGGCAGAGTCGCTTCCTCTTTCCCGACTTATCTAGGAAAGATCGAAGCGACTCTGCTAGCAGGGTAGAAACAACCACCCTGTCGCAAATTTGTAATAAACATTGCACTTTGTAATAATCTTCTTGAGAGTAATTCAACTTACCTAGTTAACATTAACATCTTGTCTTTGGTACTCAGGGAATCAAAAGGGTTCTTAAAAGCGTCCTCTCTCACAAAAAAAACGAAGAACCCTTTCGAACAAAAAATTTGTTTATATAAAGTCGTTTGGGTGCTGTAATACCTCGTGAAAGTAGAAACTCAGGGGAATCGATAGTTTCTTAGTTTGATTTTTGGTGACGTCACGTGCAAACCAAAAATAATAACAGTTTGCGTTTAACAAATTAAAACAGACTCCATCTCCATTCACATAGCGACGGAAAAACCTATTACAAGAGATTATACTAAATATTTATGAAGAAGACATCTATTTAATGATGGTCGGTGACAATTGAGACAACATATATTATTTGTCGTTAAAAAAGTTCATTTTTGTACTTCCGAAGTGACATTCACGGAGAAAGAAGTCCCATACGGTGAGCTTATTCTACCCCTTACGAAGAATATCATTCACAAACTATAAGCGTTAGGTAGGTACGGCTAAGATTTAACTTAATATGTTTTCTCTTATGGCCAAAGAAGCTCGAGAGACAAATAATTTCAGTCGCAATTCCATTTGTTTTTTAGACTCGTCAACCTAGCCGAAAACAAAAAATCCAGACCAAAGAATTTCATTTTTGCAGGTTTGTTTTTTACTTTCATATATAAGTATAGCACTTTTTGCGCAAAATCTTCAGGTCAATTTAGTAAACAAATAATAATGTTAACTGAAAGCGAACATCTGTGGATTTGGGCATTGTTTTGGTTAGGCGAATTCCACAAATGTGATCACCTCCATTAACTCAAAATTTGTGGATGTTCTCATCCCTTTCAAATAAAAATCATAAATCTTAAGTTTCACCTTGAGTTTACCATTTCTCTGCGCAGACGTCTTTTCAACTTGAAGAGGGGTGTATGAAATGCAGGAGTTTCAATGAACAAGTTCTAGCAAGTTTTTTCTTGGAGAGCCATCCGTTGAAAAAGAACCCGGCTAAATTTAGTGATTAGCCTTCGTGTGCCTTATTTTCTCCGCAGTAACGTCCCAGAGGTAGTTCGTTTTAGTATGTGAACGGTCCTCAGCCACCCATTTTCATCCCTTGTCAGATTCTGTACTAAAATCGACCGATTTTGTACAGCTGAAAGGTTGGGGTCTTAGATGTCAGACTTTCCTCTTGTCTTTTTACAGTCGTATTTTGTTGAAGCGATTTCCAAGTGCCTTCATGCTGGCAACCGAGCTGGCTCGGTCTCCTAGATCTCGCCACAGTCAGTTTCGATATAATAATAATAATAATATAGATTCTTATATAGCGCATTTCTATCCTTAATGCGCTTTACATTATGAAAGCCGATTAAAAATCATTACATTTCTAGCCTATGTGACATTATATATCAAGTACTGTAAAACTTAAAAAATCCTAATTGTAAAACTTTAAAAATCGTAAAATGTTAAGCATAAAAATCAATTGTGACATTATACATCAAGATTGGAAAACTTTAAAAAACCTAAAATATTATGTTTATAAAATCTTTAAAAAAAAACATACTTGTAAAACTTTAAAAATCCTAAAAGGTAAGACATGAAAATCAATAATCAAGCATTTCAATTGAAAAATTTCCTGAAGAGAAATGTTTTAAGTTTAGTTTTAAATGTTGTAACACTGTCCGCATTTTTGATATATTCTGGGGTAGTGTTCCATAACTGAGGTGCTGCAGTGGAAATGTATATATTTATCCTCACATATATAGCAAACTTATGTGAAGTATTAGTCACAAGTGTGATATGCTAGAGCACATCTCATGTTTGTGACCGGTAAATGACATTTACTGTTTCTTATGGAGCGTATTTGCCGAATCAACCGACGGTTTGCTTATTTGGAAGGTTCCATCATTTACGCGTCTCAGCGTCGAGAAGAAGCCCTAAACGAATGCAGCTATCTCTGTTTTTGGACATTGGCCTCGGTTTCTGATTGATTTCAGATTGCCGATTTCTGAATGATCCGGACTTCCGGTTTTTCACATTTCAGGTTTATGTGTCAACCTGCAGCCGATTGAATGGAAGGTTTACTCGAGGTTGTGGAAAATAAAACCTAGTTAATTTTCTGATTCTCTAGCAAACTGTCATCTCTGGACAGTTGTTTTACAGACCTATTTAGCTCGAAACATGACACAGTTTCATCTGTTTTGAGCTTTGGATTGTCAGCATGGAATTCAAATCGGGGCGCACACCAGCCGTTTTTTAAGTACATTTACTGGAATTTTATCGAATCTGGCATCTCAGGGACTGTAATATAGCTCAATTTGTGAGTCAGTGCCAGCAATGAATTACATAAGCCGTACTTTTGACGAACTCAGCTTGAAATAGATCCGTTACGCTAGAGCTAAAAATATCGAATAAGCTCGCTTATACGTTGATACGATCATAACTTTTAAAATACTGAAATTGTATATGGGTTTTTGTAGATTCTTAATAACAGATGATCCATCTTTTCGTTTATTAGATCTAGAGCTTTCAACTAGGTCCCAAACGTCAGAAATACACTCTTTTTTTTATAAGAATATATTTTATAAGAATATCGAGGCCGAAATTTGCGAAATTTGAAGAATATTTTAAGAATAAAGCCGAGGATGACATTTTGAAAAGGATAGATATGATTTTGTGTGTTGAAACATCTGTAAATACACCATGCACACATTTCTCATGTACAGACAACCCTTGCTGGTTAACAAAGAGTTTACTGCAGTGATTACACTTAATTGTCCTTGACATAGTTGAAACAAAATCGGGTACTTTCGTTTCCATCACGCTATTTCTGTGCGAAATGCTTTTTTTAAAGCCAAAACGGCCAAGTGTCATTTGACGTGACATCTTGACCTCGCTGACTGCAACGAAAAGCGATGGAGCACGTGCACAATGTAACGCGATACAGATCTAGATACCAAGCACTTGTAATTGATACCCCAATAAATTCTAAAACGGAAATGTCATAAGCTATAATTTAAGAATAATACAAAAATATTTTCAGCCTAAAATCGGCAGAAAAATAAGAATATTCAGCCTGGGCCGGAAAAACAACATTCTTATAAAAAAAAAAAAAAGAGTGTAAGCTTTTTAGAAACCCGGGGAATTTTAACCTTTCGCCTCTAGGCAATTAGTTGGGGTCATATTTTGCCTGATTTTGTCTTTTAAGCGAAAAACTATAGGTGTTTACCCATAAATAGATATAAAATTCATTGGCAGATGGTGCAAATCAAACATTTAACAGCGCCGTAAAAAATGCCCCATTTTCAATGTTCAAGACGTGCAAACTGACCGTGGCGAGACTAAATACCCAAGGGCCCCCAGCACGGCCAGAGAATTATTGTGAATCAAAGCAAACCTATTTAGTCTCGCTTGCGTAGTAGCAAGCCATTCTTGTCTTTGTATTAAGTACACAAAAGGGTAGTCGCGATTTGGAAAAATTGTTACCACAGTTGTATTAGATAAAGACAAAAAATTTGTCATGATCAGGGTTGCAGTGACATCGGAGTTGTCATAGCAACGAAATGACGCCAGTACATTTTACCATTTTATTTTACCTACAACAGTATTTCTTGGTACTGGGAACTGTTCTTCCAAAATCGTTCACTGGCGCTTTTTTTCCCAATAGCCGCCTCAATGTTCGTGAAGTTTATAAGCGGAATCTGTGAGAGCTTTATCGAAATATTTTGGGATAAAGTTTTTATGGTTAGAAATGCGGTAAAAAATAGACAATCTTGATGTTTGGCTGTTATCTGTAGAAAACAAAGCGCTTTTGTCTTGCAATTTTACCTTATAGTAGTTTCAATCTTTTTAAAAACCTGTGTGAAAGATCATGGAGATAGCTCCAGCCAATTGCTAGAAATAAGGATTTGATTAGCATGTATCAAGGCGCTCTTGTTAGCGGTTTGGTAAACATGTTGGTATACATTAACAAATTAGCGAATAATTTTTAAACCGCTTGATAGATTTTTTAAAAACTTGAGATTCTCGAGATTAAGTGTCGTTTTAGGAGACATTTGAGTCTCAAGATTATTGATATATTGTAAGGCAGTAAAATAAGGGCTACAATTCGCTATTTTTTTTATAGAAAGTTTCGTCTTTACAAGTTAAAGCCTCTCATTATTCAAGGGTGTTATCTTCAAGTTTCATTTTCACGTGAACAGCAGTAACTAACAGTGTATTTGAAATACGCAAAAATGCCAGCTATTGTTGTGCAAGAAAATATTAAACTTGGAGGCAATATCCCTGAAAAATGAGGGGAGTCCAAGTCTTGGTTCTTGGCTGGAACACGACTGCCTGCTCGCCTTGAATTAGGTTTCGAAGTTCGCATGTCGATCTACTATCATACTGTTTTCTCTGGATGTTCTGTCGGTTCTGCAGTTGTGGTCTGTGGCTATTAAGGGTTTGGTAACTATTGATCGAGTATACTTGGGGTATTGATTAGCTGAAGCTGGTTGTCTGCCGACTCTTCTGACTTTGCCATATCACGAACTTCCTTGAAGGTGAAAGCATTTCCTACTTTGAAGCAGTCCTTTCGCAAAAGGTCAGAGTTCATTCCTAGCACAGGGAAATCTCTCATGAATGGATCATTGTGCTGTATCGTATAGTAGGCTTCCTTCGCACGGATTCTCAATTTCGCAATAAATTCTTCCAGAGAGAGGGTACCTTGTCGGTGGTTGTGAATCTCCTACATTGCTATTAACTCATTTGAGTGTGGCTTGACAAAATGTTCGAATCTCATCCAGTAATACACCGTATTCACAAATGGCGGACACGCGGGAAAAAACTGGTGCCTAGTCATGAAAGCGAGGCGTTGGAGGGTAAACAAAAACTGCAAATGAAGACTTTCAGTGAACTTGCAGAGTGTTTAGCACGGATTCCACCTAAAATAACTTTGTACGGACGTCTTTTAAAATACAATTACGTGGGATGTCTTCTGCTTTTAATGTTTAGTATTGATTTGCTGTTTGCAATCAAAAGGGATGCGTATATCTTCAAGGAAACAAGATGATTTTGTAGGTTTCCGAAGCATCAGAAGCTAGACAAGTGGGCGATGGCTGGAGAAAAGCGGCAAACATGTTGGCCCAAACTTCACATTGAAACCGAGTTCGAAAGCCAGCTCACTGCAATTCGGTAAAACAGAAATATAAACAATGCAAATCTTGGGGGCAAGAAAAAAAGAAATAAGCGATGGATATATGGCCTACTTGTTAACGCAAAAGACGTGTGCCATTGAACAAAACAGTTCAAATCGAGATGGAAAAAAGGAAGACAGGAAAGAAGCGGTGACTTAGGTTTCGATGAAGTTATGTTTGATGTTTATTTGCCAGGACGCTATTCTCTGGTCTTTATCGATGAAGGACATCAATTAGAATTATCTTTTTGGTCTAAATGCAGGAGCGATCGAGTGGAGTACGCTCAAAATTTCGACTTGTCACTCGGCAGACTCGGTAAGCCGGCCAAATTTCATTTCAGCGAGTAATTTTCCTATTTCTTATCTTTGGCTGTTATGAGTTTTAACTTCATGTTCCATAATGTTTAAAAAGGGAAGAATACATAAATAAGTAAAATGATGGTCTTCTTAAACGGATCCAGACTCACATTTAATGATTCGAAACAGAAGCTTAATTGCCGTGTTCAGTCCTGACACAAACATTGCCTTAAAAGTTTAACCTGGTAAAATGTGAGCTTTATACCACTTTTTTACAAAGAGCTCTCTGAGATAATGCCGTAAAGGAAACCAGGCAAATAGCAAGCCATAAGATTCACACACTAGAGCTTCTAGTTTTGATAAAATTATTTTATTTCGCAATGCAAAGAAATCATAAGATTTTAGATTTGCACTGAATTTGCTAAGCTCTGCCAACGTACCTCTAACAATTCACTCCAAAGTGACGGAATTGATATCATCCAAAGGAAGTTGTAAATACAGACATACATAGATATGTGTAAAATGACACTGACATGAATGAATGAGTCTCGTGAATGAATCTTTCACCCGCTCTCGACTTGACCAGTTTTGAGTAATGGCGGAGGTCTCTTCCGTTGACAAGTAGGCCATCTATCCGTCGCTTTTTTCTTTTTTTCTTGCCACCAATATCTTTTTTTACTTCTGTTTTACAGAATTGCAGTGAGCTGGCTTTCGTATTCGGTTTCAGCGTGAAGTTTGGGCCAACATGTTTGCCTCTTTTCTCCAGCCATCACCCACTTGTCGAGCTTCTGAGGCTTCGGCAACCTACAAAATCATCCTGTTTCCTTGAAGATATACGCGTCCCTTGTGATTGCAAACAGCAAATCAGTACTAAACATTAAAAGCAGAAGACGTTCCACGTCATTGTATTTAAAAAGACGTCCATACAAAGTTATTTTAGGTGGAATCCGTGCTAGACACTCTGCAAGTTCACTGAAAGTCTTCATTTGCGATTTTTTTTTACCCTCCAACGCCTCGCTTTCATGACTAGGCCGCAGTTTTTTCCCGCGTGTCCGCCATTTGTGAATACGGTGTATTTTCCAGCTTTTTTTGCCCATCCGCGGACATGTCCCAGCTGTTGGAAAGTTCGATTCCGTGTTTTCCCGACCAGTATAATAGATGCTTGCATTTGATTTCTTGTTCAACTTTCGCCATCGGCCGGGTAACAGTTCACATCTTTGTTTCCACATTTTGAAGCAATTATATAAGTTGTAGTCTGTGCTCCAGTCGATTGAAGGCCCCTTGTCGATGAATGAGGGACCCGTTATTTTGTTTGTTGTGTCACTCGCTCGTTCGTTCACTGAAGTTGGCAGACTTACACCAATCTCCTCAGTTGGATCGTCGTACATATAAACAGAAAGTGTTCATTTGTTTCTTTTTTACAATCCCACGTCTGAAGCCATGAAAAGATACGCATTAGGTCAAAACGCTTTTTTTTAATAATCCTCCGACTCTCATGATTACAAGCTCGGTCGTAGAGAAACACGTGTTTTAGTGAATGCATTGCGTATGCGCAAGGTTGATTATGTAACACAAGTGAACACTTTACTAGTCGAAAAAAAATATTTAATTAGAAAACTTTGATGGTGAAGCTAACTGGTTGGACGCGCCGTGTCCATGACGTTTTTTATCTCTGGCAATGATGTAATTATCTCTCGAATCGAGGCCCTTGAATTTTCGAGTATTTATACAAGCGTATAGCCTGCGACCGCAGACGTATTTCCGGTCGTCGCACACACGCGTACTAAATAATCAGTTTAGAAACAAATCGTCCAATACGATGTAAAAAGTAAATATCCTGAAGAATACTCGACCGTCGATAAAGTAGGAAGTGAAAAACAGAGTAAATCCTGTTTCGTGTAGAATTAATCGCCTTCTCATTTCTTATCTAATCTTCAAGTAAGCAAGGCTTAACGACTCTTTTAAGAGCGTTCTTGTTTAGTTATAGTCTCGATAAAAGCTTTCACTTGCCACAGTTTCAGGCAAAATTATTTTCATGCGAAATAGAGTGAGAGGTTTTTACTGAGACAGCCTCTCAAATATTTGTTCCGCTTCTTTATCCATGTTGTAAATAAGGGCATTTATCTTAAGAACGTCATATTTGGCATTGAATTTAATAGCGCACCTGAACCGCTGGAAATGTTGTTTCCAATATGGCCACTCTTAACTATTCTCACACATGCGCAGTACAATCGTGATAAGTTTAAAATACAAAATCGGGCATTTTCATTTTGCCGAGTTGTCCTTTCAAGAGAGTATCAACAGTGCGCCTCCTTTGGAAGTCTGCTATAAATAATTTTGGGATCCGCCTCCTTCCCCCCGGGCAGAATACCCCTTTTATTATATTCTTTAACCCTCTGCGTATTTTTTATCCGACAGGAAGAGTTGACGCTACGAAAGAAAAAATGGATTCCATGGAGAGCCAACTGAGAGAAATGTTAAGAGAGTTTAAATCTAGAAGCAAGGCCAAAGTTATTCTGGAATCAGGTTTATTCATGCTTATTTTGTTGTTCCTGTTTGTTGGAAACTCCTTAATACTCCTGGTTCTGTTGTTAAACCGACGAATGCGAACCATTCCAAACATGTTCGTGGCATCACTCGCCGTCTCCGACTTATTACTAGGAGTTTTGAGTGTAGGTCCTTTAGGCATCCCTACATTAGTGACTTCTCATTGGCCTTTTAATGACACGATCTGTCAATTTCAAGGTTTCATTATTATTACGTTGGTTGTTGCATCGATTCAAACAATGGTCTTCATGGCGGTGAACAGATATTTTAGAATCGTCAAATCGACAAAGTACCGCCGTTACTTCACCAAGACGAAAACCCTAACTATGATTTTTGTGACATGGCTCTATTCTATTTGTGTTCCACTAATTCACTTGCTAAGAGGGAAAAAAATGATCTTTCATCCCGCCAAGTTCTTCTGTTCTTTTCCAATCGAAAGCAGTGCATTTCTGGCCTACGGTTTTCGGCTTTACGTAGGGATTCTTACTTGCGTTATCATCTACTGCTACTTTAGAATCTTCACAACAGTTCGCCGCCACAATAACAATTTTCCTGGCAATCCAATAAGCCCGGTAAACGTAGAAGAAGTTAAGGTGGCTCGCACCATATTCGTAGTAGTGGTGTTTTTTAATCTGTGTTGGATTCCAGTCTTAACAATTGACCTTGTGGACACGGCTCGCCAAAAGTGGATCTTCCCTCCCGAGGCTTACCTGGCATATACATTTATGGCCACAATAAGCAGCGCTTTGAATCCACTAATTTACGGCGTGCTCAACAAGAGTTTTCGCAAGAATTATCTGAAGGTACTACGTTGCAGATGCTGCCGTTCTCAAGCTGTCGTAGAGCCATTGGCTATGCGAGTAAGAGCGAGTGTTGTCGCCATGAGACCATAGCCATAATTAAAAGATACAGATGGAAACGAATTAGCAATTTAGGTTGTGTCGATTCACACATTGACCGTTTTCACAATTGAGACTGACTATCTGCATGTTCAAAACCCGTCAAAATTGACAGACAAGCAGACAGAAAAAATCAGACCAATTATTCGTCCAAAATTAGAACCGTTCCGTTTTCACATAAAGACTGATTATTATTCAACGGATAACCCGTCTGAGACGGATGATCCTCTCTCGTGTGAAAACGGTCATTGGCCTTAATGACGGTAAACAGGTGTTATAGATTCGTCAAACCAGCCAATTATCGCCGCTATATAATCACCGAGAAGGAAACCCTAGAGATGATTCTTGTGTGGTGGCTTTATTTCATATGCGCCTTATTTTATCCTCCAATCGAAAACAGTGCATTTATGGCCTATGGTCAACAACTTTATTTACAGGGTTTCCAAACAAACTGCATCATCTTTTATTGTTATCTTAGAATCTTCAAAACCCTTCGCAGTCATAACAATTTTCATCTATCTGGTAATCCAGTGAACGCATTAAACGTAGAAGTTAAGGTGGCGCGCACTGTATTCGTCACAGTGGTATTTTTAATCTGTATTGGACAACTTTCTAAAGATGGATCCCTGCTCCTGAGGTTTCCATGGCATAAGCGTTTCTGGCCACTTTATGCGACGTGATAAACAAGACAAACAAGAGCTTTCGTGAGAATTGTTTGAAGGTGCTACGTTGTAGGTAGTGGGCACTACCGGTGTAATGAATTAAATAAATAAATAAATAAAAAAGCACTCCTTCGGAGCCAAGTAATGGTCTCCTGAGTATTATATTTGAACTTACAAACAACCGACATAAGCATTGAAAAATTGTTAGGCCTAATTGACACTATTGTAGGAGGAGGAGCTTTGACGGGGACTACGTGATTCCTTCAACAACATAACCAAGTCTTTGTGTTCGGCTCGAACTAAGTTTTCACAGTGACTTTCGGGATCGTACTCTCCAGTAACCGTTGCTTCACGTCGTTTTAATAGTTGCCAATAAAGACATCTGCTTAAAAAAAATTGATGCTTACGGAAGCCTAATTTTGGATTATGAATTGGTAATTTTCTCTTTCATATTCATTTTTTACACTAAAAGCATCACGGCTTTTAGCAAATTAACCCGGTTTTCAAAACTCCAGGTAGAATTGTGATTATAATGTCTTTATTCATTTGATAAAAATACATATCAAAAGTTACAGTGGTGGAGACTAAGTTATTTTAAAAAACATACTAACTAACAAAGCGCTTAGAAATTCAAAGTAACATAATAAAGGTGAGAGATTGCTAATTTATACTTAAAATTTAACCTATTCATAAACCTATTTTTAAAGCTTCGGTGTTTACTTTAGGCAACAGGCTACAAATACCTCTTAGCTTTGTCGAAGTCACAGGGTATTAATTAATAGTATACATTAATTTGTAAAAGTTAGCATAACGTCGAAAGAAAAGTTCTTAACACTGAAAGCAACCCGTTTTTTTTAAAGCAATAAAATAATAATTTCCTGTACGTCAAAACATCATAAGGACACACACTGCTGTTACGGATTTAAGAACTACCTTTAATGAAAATAAGAGTAGCGAAAAGCCTTATCTTAATTAATTTTTAGTTTGCATTGTTTAATTTGCGTGCAAATTTTCCCCTTTCCTCTCACCTTTCAGTTTCATTACGTTCTCTATTTTCCTACTAATGAGTCACTTATCCGTTGCGTTTGAATTTTGTTGTTACTTCAATCAACGGTTACTTCTAGAGATTTATGTAAGTGTAGCATACAAAACGTCTTGTTAAAAGTTGAATATTTTTACGCTAGACGTTTTTTCCTAATGTTTATCACCGCGATTTGCCTCAAAAGTTCAAAAGTGGAAAATGTTTTTCATCCCAACTGAACTTCATAAGCCACTATAAAAATGCATGTAACTTTGAGAATGAATATATCGAGAGAGCTGGAAAAGTGTCTGCAATTGTCTCTATTCGGGCGAAGAGACGGATGACATTTCAGAGTATTTAACTGCCCAAGTTGCATTGAAATCGAAGCGATAGCATGTAGCACACCTACCTGGTGCACCAATGGACTCGCTCTTAATATTGTTCTGCCTGACGTTTGCACAGGTAGCCCAAGCTCATTGTGAGGGCCCTGAACAACATTATCCTATTTAGCTAATTGATTATTCATACGGCATCAATTATAAGACGTTGTATGAGTATTACCCTATTTCTCCATAACTGAGTGAACATGCATTAAAAGATGACAATAGTTTCTCTCTACTGTCATCTGGGTGAAAAACCGTCGCTCGAGAAAAGGCGTTAAACAGTGCCTAGGAGGCCTGGAATGCAGCCAGAACGTAAAGAGAAGAATATTTCTTATACAACGTCTTATAATTTTCATGCTGTAAGAATAATTAATTAGCTTAGAAGGGTAGTGTTGTTCTCGGGTTCTTTGCATCCTAAGAGGCCTGAAACGAAGTCAACACACAAATATACATACGAGAATACAAAATGCGAGCTAAAAAAGAAAATTTTAATGCATGTTTCGCTCAATTATGGAGAAATAGGGTAATTATCTTACAACGTGTTATAATTGTTGACGTATGAATAATTAATTAGCTAAATAAGATAACGTTGTTCAGGACTTTCAAGGTGAGCTTGGGGTGCCTGTGACGTTTGTAGTAGAATCCATTTCACCTGTCGCAGAAACACCTGCCCTCGTTGATGAAAACTAAGCTATAAAATATTGAACTCGAGGACTGAGTGTTGCTAAAGGCAGTTGACAATAGTCGATCTCGGAGCTCAGTTTTATAAAGTATTATTTTTAATCTACAAGGATTTGGATACTGCCACAAGGGGGCTGCTGTTTCAAGAAAACCTATAAGAACCACAGGTAACTGAAATCCCTTGTTACTCTATTAAACTTTGTGTATTATATACACAAGTATCAATTGTGGTTCTATTTTAAATCCTTAATGTAATATTTGGACGGATGATTTTTCTAGGTTTTCTACTGCAAAGTAATAGTAACACAAGTAAAACACGACAAAAAAGTCAAATTTAACGTGTGTTTACACGCAATAATTTTTTCAGTGGCTAAAATCCAGTTAAACACTCTAGTTCATAAAATAAACAAGGTTTCCTTGTCGAGTTTTCTTTAAAAGAGGTTCTTAACAGTGGGCGAGTTAAGACATGCGCTAAGTAATCCTTCCCCTGGCAGAGGGGAATACCTCAACTCTTTCAGTGAACTCGTTTAACCCCTTCTGGCGTATATTTTTTTCTTGCTAGCAAGAACTGTTTGACGCTTAAAAAAATGTATTCCACAGTTTCTTCAGTTTACCCAGTTTCCTCCCGTCTTATTTTCGTGTTCGTGCTTTTTTAATTCAGCGGGCGGACTATCTCGGAGCCTGGAACAGGCTAATTCCAACCTGTGTTATAATCTACTGCTACTTTAGAATCTTTACAACAGTTCGCCACCACAATAGCAATCTTCATCACCCTGGCGATCCAATAAGCACGGTAAACGTCGAAGAACTTAAGGTGGCTCGCACCATACTTGTTATAGTGGTGTTTTTTAATTTGTGCTGGATTCCAATCTTTACAATTGACATTTTGGACACGATTTTTCAAAGTTGGATCTTCCCTCCCGAGGTATATGTGGAATATACTTTCTTTCGCGACTATAAGCAGCGCTTTGAATCCTTTAATTTACGGCGTGCTCAACGAGAGTTTTTGCAAGAATTATCTGAATGTACTACGTTGCAGATGCTGCCGATCTCAAGCTGTCGTAGAACCATTGGCTCTGCGAGTAATAGCGAGTGTTGTCGCCATGGTACCATTGCCTTAATTACAAGATACAGATGGAAACGAATTAGCAATTTTCGTTGTGTCACATTTAACTTTTTTTTACCTGGAGTGTGACAGCTGGTTTGACCTATTTTCTTATCTCAACATTGAGTCTCGAAAAATCACCAGGTCGGCCCATGAAGCATTTTACTTGTTGCATGAAAATGTTATTAGAAACTGAATCATTGATTGGCTTAGATTTATCAGTAGGGGTTAATATAGGTCCTTCATCCATTACAGCATTAGTGACTTCCCATTGGCTCTGCGAGTAGGTGAACAGGTGTTATAAATCCGTCAAACCAGCCAATTACCGCAGCTATATAATCACCGAGAAGGAAACCCCAGAGATGATTCTTGTGTCGTGGCTTTATTTTGAATGCGCTTTATTTTATCACCGATTCGAAAACAGTAGCGCATTCAACATTTGTAGGCTATGCCTATGGTGAACAACTTTATCTACAGGGGTTACAAACTGCACCAACAACTTAGAATCTTCACACTTCTTCGCAGTCATAACAGTTTTCGTTAATGGTCGATCTCGGAGCCCAGCCATTTTATTAAAATAAGGTATTAGTTCTAATCTACAAGAATTAGGTGCTTCTGTAACTGTTTTGGCTACTGCCACAAGGGAGCTGCTGTTTCAAGAAAGCCTAAAAGAACCACAGGTAACTGAACGTCACTCATTCTTCTATTCCACTTTGTGTGATTATATACCCAAATATCAATTGTGGTTCTATATTATTCTTACAGTACGTTGCCCAGTATCGTGCTACTTTAGTCAACATTGCAATAACTTTCCTTTCTTAGTCGCAAGAGTTCTGAAATTTGGCCCAGAGAAAATCTATTTAGTCGTCAATATGACGAAAGACAGTTTAATTTTTTTGCCTTTGTTTCCATCGCGAAATTATTATTTTCAGGCTCCTATGTTGCCCAGTATCCGGCCAGCTGGCCCAGTATCCGGCCACAACAATACCCGTAATTGTACATAAATTTCGACAGGCAAGCGACTTATAAGCTTCTTCTATTATAGTTCTTACTCCCTTGTCTGGGAACTTTTTCACTGATTTAAGGATCGCATCCGTGGACAAGCCAAAAACGCGGTTTGCAAGCTCAATTAGCTTATCTGCCATCCGGTTTATTCCTCATTTTTGTTAATCAAAAAAAAAAAAAAAAACCTGGCAAAGGGACCTCAATCCGACGGTCAAAAGTCACTCTCCTGTTTAGTCTGACCTGCAGTGTTGATTTCTTCTTGCTCAGTCCCCACATTTGGCCTGCTTTTCTAGCACTAATTCCTCCTTCTTACATCTTTAAATCCCTTGATACATTTTCTCAGACCGTTGCAACCCATTCTTGCAGTCACAACTGGGGAAAGTATGAGCATTCGCGGTTCA